CGTTCGTACCGCTTATTATTATTTTTTTATTTTAGCGCACGTACCGTTATTGTTATACAATTTTTTATAGAGCGGTCGGCGACGCCGGGTCGGTCCAGGTGAAGAGGGGTTGGTGGTACGCGAAACATTGACCACCGCCATAACATTCGCTATCGATTAATACACAATATATGTATACATAATTTATTAAACATACATAATATATGTACGCGCAAGCACCTAGCTACTGACAGACGCATCTATCTGGCGGCCATCCGTCACCACGCCGCCATTTTCTCTATATTTTTAACATCAACAAAACTATTATGAATATGAGTGACGCAATTATATTATGCCAACAATTTAATTTTCAAATTTTTTAACATTATTTTGCTACTTGTTTTTCAAAACAAACGCACTTTCGGCGACAACCACCGTCCACGCCAAAGTGGGTTTGTTGCCAAATATGTTGCTGAAGCGAGAACAGAGATTAATAAAAGAAAAACTAACAGACATCTAATGGGTTTTGCAGTTAGACAAACTACTATGTAAAGTATTTTTCATTTTTAACGCATAATAACATGTTACGCGTAAATCAATTCAACTACTGACATGCATGATTCACCGATACTAGGTGTATCTCGGTCGCCTAGACTAAAATTAATAATTGGTCACGCACATTTTGTCCGTAAATATTAAAAATACAAAACAAATTAATGTAATATCGTCCAAATCTTTGATAATTAAAGAAATTTTTTAAATGTACTCTAATGTGTCGCCAAATAATATGTAGAAAAAAAATACATCCTCGTGTTGAAGCTAGCTGTTGTTTTAGATGAATACAAAAAAAAATATCAAACAATCATTGTCAAAAAACTATTGTAAAACCATAAAATTGCCAACATTCCTCATAACAATATTTTAGATAAATGGCTCTTTGATAATATATTTTTTATAATGTTCAAAAAAACTCGATTTTTAAAGATATAATATATTATTTTTAAATTTATAACTATTTGAGTGCGTTTACTTTTAAACATTTTAATTTTCAGAGCAATGTTTGACAATGATGTATACTCAGATTAACAATACATTATTACATTTTATGAAATGTTAACATAATTTAATTTGGGCTTTTAATACATTTACCATGGCTAAGAATTGTAGCAGTGGCGTAATTACAGAGGGTGATCAAATTGATCCCCCAGTTTTTATTTTTGTATAAAAAATTACCTATTAAAAATGTATTGATTTAATATAAATGTTGTAAACATAAAAATATTATTAAGTTTTAGAAGAATGTCACAGCAATTTTTATTATGTTATATTTAATAAATAAATGTGAACCAATCTATACTTTAAATCACCTTTTTTATCTAACAAACATTGTCTGGTAAAAAGCAAAATGGACTAAATGTATTTTATTTGATTGAAACATCAAAACAATAAACCGTTCCTAGCATTGCGTATAAATTAAAAAAACATGGTACAGCTTTTTCCGGTTCGGCCATAAAGGCCTTCTACAAAGGGGTTAAGGGGTCACATTATATTTTTGCTTCCTAGAAGAAAATTATAAATACGCCATTGGTGTGGTAAGACGACTGTCAGTCAGCTCAATGTAGAAACACAAATGAATTATCTAAAATTATTTTAAAAACGTGATTAAATGTTTTTAGTTGTATGCCTAACCTTTGCCTATAGTTAGTAGTTACACACAGGACGATAGTATTCAAACGGTATGAGCGTATAGACTAGTAAACTGGCTTTATGTTGGCTTCCCTTTCTGAAGTCTTAAAATATTAAGTTTGTCAAAAGGTAATTAAGTGTTCTGCGAAACCCGTGATTAGTTTCTTTTGACACACGTTTTGCTGCCATTACAAAATTATTATACACCAACAACAGTACTTCTATTAATGTTTCCAAGTACACGTACCATGGAAGTAGTATATACTATCAACAGGAACTCGACGCAATCCACAATTCCTCGAGAAAAAACGATTTTATCATTAGGAAAATTCCTGATCTCGGTTTAAGAAAATCTGGCTTTTGTATGTAATGAAGCGCATTGACCAAATTTTAAATTATTATCTTATAGGCAAGTTAAAGCAATGTCAAGATTAGACCTAGAAATCAGAATTCATTAGTCGGAATTCTGTTCAATTTAGGCTTGTAACAATATTGCATTTGCATAGTGAGAGTCATACATCACACTCGAATATTATATGAATTCTCATTTTCATTAAAAGGGAAATTTCACAAGCAAAAATGTAATTTTGAAATTCAGGAAGTCGTTATGCAATTGAAGTAAATAGTAACCTTGAGATAATAATAAGTTAGGAATTTGTTTTTATGACTTAATTAAAATCGATTTTATAAATATATAATACATAAATATTTGTTTGATTACATCACTTTGATTATATTTGTATATTAAAATTAAATTTGCGTAAAATAATTTATTATATGACTCCAAGAAGGGGAAGGGGGAGTTCAGTAGTTCCGTAGGAAAAAAGTGTAAAATTACTTTATTTAGCAATGTCTTAATAAGTGTCAATAATAAGTAAATGGTAAATCACTTTATGTTATAACAATCATAACACCGCCGTTATCAAAACCGTTTATGCAAGCACAAACAATTGTGTAGTAACTCGGCTAAATGATTTGGAATATTGTCGGAAAAATCTTAGATTATAATTATTATTATTCATATTTAATTTTTATTATTCGCGTCGGTTTACGAAAGGGAACTCCGTGGAAATCGATCCGGTTTTCGACTGACAAATACTGCAATCTTGATTTACTGCTATAGCTTTTTTAACCGCATTGGACACATACAATGTTTCTTTTTTTTCAATTTTAGTAGTATGGAGCGCATAAGCCATAAAAACACTACTTTTTACACTATTCGTATACAGGGAGAGACCGCGACTGCAAAAAAAAAAAAAAAGAAGACTACTTAAATTTTTTTTTTTTTTACTACCCACGTTCATAAAGAAAGTTGATACAGCAGCTGCATTCCATTTTTATGCGCGTTTACTCGTTGCGGTGGCGGCCGGCTTCAATTGCGTTTCAAATATGACTTCCGGTCATTGACCACAGCCAAAATAACATATGCATGCACGCCAGCCAGCCAGCCGACATGGCCCGCGCCAGAACAGGTTCGCAGAAATACAACTTTTTTTTTTTTTGAGAAATTATTAGTTATTTTTTACTCGACACACAAAAATTTGTAATTATTAAGTGTCAGTGGAAAATCACCGTAGACGTATCGCGTTTTCCACACAAGCGAACGCCGACGCGACGGTGCCGGGCAAACTTATTAATACAGACGCCGAGAGTTCTATATCGAGACCCGGCAACAGTCGGTCGGATCGCGTGCGTATACGTTGGGTGTATATATAATATACATATATATATGTAACACATGTTATTTTCAGATCGTTAGCCCGAGCGAACGAGAAACGCGACGAGAAGATATGCGATTAAAACACAGGAAAAAAATTACAGGACAAAAAATTTGGCAAAACCCTACTGCAGACGTGTATTATTTCTGGCCAGGTTCTCTAATTATATGTACATATTACAATAACGGCGACGAAACCGCCCTGGAACGTGGCAATCACACTATTCAAATTCCATACGAAAATAATGTGGACACAATCGCAAATACCGAATACATCATTAGTTTTTCTAGCAAAAAAAAAATTATTTAACGTACACCTGTTGGCCGAAAATCGCAAAGGTCCTAAGAAAAAATAATGATCCAATGAACGGCGGCACGCCGTCAAAACTCATAACCGGACAATATTCATACACGGTCAGGCAAAAATAACAAGGGTTTCGTCACTGCTGCCGCCGCCATTGTAGGGAGCGACTGCGACCCTAAGCGAAAAAGCCCCGATATGAGTATTCATTTGTCTGTCACGTGCCCCTACTATATGCTCTACAACAACCGCCATTGGTCCAAACGCCGTGATAACCACCACATGCGAGTTATTATAAATTACAATATTAAACACGATAATATTTTACACATACGCTTTACGCAAAAGGACAGCGTAAACGTTCATTTTTTTATTTTGGAAATTTCAACATTTCTGAAAATTTGTTTTTAATTGGTCGACCTGTAAACACATGACTTGATTACAACTATTTTTCTGGCTTATTGCAAGCCTCGCGGGCTCACTGCCACTACTATTACGCGCATCCATTGCTTTCATAAAAAGTCCTCACAAACTCAGTCAATCTACATTGTCTCAGGTCTTGTTCCATCTGGTTTCTACATTGAGAACTTATGTACCAGCAGGCCCTCGGCTCTCCACACGTACCCTGCCCTGCTAATTCTTCGACTTTTAAAATCCCTATTATGTCAAGCTCCTCGAACATTTCTCTCACTCCAGCATTAGGCTTACATTCGTAATCATTATTTTATGCTCAAATATCCCTAGCAATACTTTTTTCGAAAAAAACGCTAATCTTATATTATATACATTATTATTATTTTTAAACCTATACTTATTAGATAATGGTTATTAAATATTTTTGTTATTTATCAATTTAAAATTAATTTTAAACAGTTTTAGAAAATAATTTTTGCATAGTTTTGCTATTATACACATCTATATAAAATTATGTATTATGTACTTATGTACATTTATTCTAATTATTCATATACAAACATTTTTTTGAAATTTTTCAAAACATTTCTAGTTATAAATTTCTGGAACTTGTACAATAGCAAAAAGTATTAAATAGTATAAATAAGTCTACATTACATTCAATTGATCGATTTAGACAATTATTAGTACATATTTTCTTGTTATAAACGTTTGTCTTGTTACAATATGTAATTTTATAGGTGCATTATGATTTAGATTTATCAATCACTTCGGGTTTAGTATAAGATACAATATATTATACATACAATATATTATACAACAATTATTGCTGTGATAGAGATAAGAATATTATGATACTAATATGTGTGTATATGTGTAAAGAACCGATTTTTTTTTAATTACCTTTGGACAGCCTGTCTCTGTTGAAACTGAGCGCTTTGGTTGTAAGCGTAACCGTTGTAATCTTGCGTATTTCCTTGGTTGGCCTGTTGACTTTGGTCCATGTCGTTGGGGGTCATTATCATGTGTGTGTTTACGGTGTACGGAGTATTGGCAGTATTACTAAACACGGAACGACAAACATTTTAGTTGGTGTCTTTTGCAAGTGTTGTACAAGGAGAGCCGGTGCCGATGCTGCGTGCGCTGCGTTGATGACTACGGACCGCGGGGACACTCTACAAGCGTAACGGAAGCGGCATTTATACGGGGCGCCGCCAGCAGCGTGGGTATAACAATAAATTACAGAACGATCGTTCAATGTTAGTAGATAGTATTAGATTATACTATTATTATTATTATTATTATTATGTCGAAAGCCAAGTATTCGAGGGGACCGCGTGGATATTTAAGCGGCAGCAAGTGGAAAACGGTGTTGCCGGCATTTGTCCCGAGATTACTACCGCCGCCGCCGCAGTAAGTCGACGTGGGTACCGTTGGACGCGAGACTTGTTGGTCGTCGCCATAGCGGTGCCTGTCGTCCACATTTCCCGCCGCCGACTTCGCGCTCTTTATTAAAAGCTCCGGGGTTAGACGCAAAAAAACAATACTTCGTTAACGATAACAATATTATTTATAATTATAGATCTTTTGTCGCGGCACGTTTAGCACACGTATATATCCGGTGTCACCGCCCTCCTTTGGTTTCCGTTCGATTTTTTTCCCAACCCTTGCCGCCGATCGAGCTTAATAGCAACGTACAAAACACAATGTATATTATACTATATTATATTATAATAATATATGTATACAATATCCCGTACACACACAGTCACGGGCAAAGAATGTGCGTGCGTTCGACCGGCAGCTACGGCGGCGGTTGCCGGTTAGTAATGTTGGACGGCCGGGAGGAGAAGGCATCGACCGCCGTGAACGTCACCTGAGGGGTGGAGTTCGATCGGAATGCTCGCGCGCGTAAGCCACGTGTGGGAAATGTGACTAAGGAGGGGAACGGCTTCGGCCCGTTCGACGATTACAAACGAAAATATTACATTAATATAATATTATTGTTATTACTGCTATCATCAACATTGCTAACGACGTTGATAACAATATTAAATAGGCATACCGCTATTATTGTTAAAAAATAAAGGGCAACGATAATTGAATACCGTAAAGCCGGCGTACTACTACCAGCGTTGATACCACAGCACGCGATTGATCCAAAGTACATGTAGTAATGATAATTCATTATTATCGTTTCAATTAACCAAGTGGGAAAACAAATATAAATATTAATTTGGAATTAGAACCCACAAGCGGACGCGCACCGGACACGCGGCGGCTAAACGTTTAACGACAAGCGGATGTAATAATAAATCGACATTTTGTTGTTTAAGAAAAAACGCAGCAAACGGACTCGGGCAGAACGTCGACGTTCGAGATACAAAATATATTACACATTATTTTATTAATCAAAAATAATAATAGGTAACAAAACAAATAACACTCACAAGAATTATTACTATTGTGATGGCGACGACGATGTTACGCGCACAGAGTAAAGATCACGCACACACACACCACGTCACAAAAAAAGAAAGAGGAACACGACAAACTATATTATATTATTATTGTTGTTTATTTATAAATAATTAGGTAATACTTAAAAAAAAAAAAAAAAAATTAAAAACCTAATTACGATGAAGACGACGACGGTTTTTGGAGTATGTATAAGCGGACCGGTCTAGGATTTTTTAAAACACTGCGTCGGCGGACGATAGATCGTACCGTAATTATATTAATTAAAGATTATTAATTCGTCATTTTCGAGTATTTAAGTATGAAAATATCATATTATGTTTAATAATATCGTGTGTGTGTGTTTATTTTGTGTGTCGGCGAGAATTCGGTGGTCGGAGCGCACGGCGCAAAAACAACGATACGGACGGACGGGCCGCGGTAGACAGAGAGAGGGAGAGCAGAAAAAAATTCTTAAAACTCGTCCGAACCACTAAAATATATGAGAAACGCAGTGTGGCCAACTACATCGGCGGCAGCGGTAACCCATCGGCGTGTGCATACAATAATATATTTATATACATATATATATATATATATATATACACGTACACAATAATATAATGTAATATTATAATGCGATGTATGCACCGCAGCGCGACGCGTTCACCAAACCCTCTCCGCCGTCCATTCAATAATAATATTGTTAATTTTGTTGGTTGCTTTTTATTTTTATTTTGCAATAATATGTTATTGCTACGCGCTCACACCATTCATTATTGGCGCAAACATTGGTGGAAGGGCGCACATGCCATGACACCACCATTCCGGTGTAACAGGCGATTTAGATTTCAGTTTATAGATAAAAACAAATTCATAACAAGTATAACATATTATTTTATGTAGGTATACTTCGTTTTGGATTAATTAATGTAACCTAACCCGTCGAGGTCACGGAAATGTAGATTAAAAATAATATCCCATATCTACACGGTTTGTACTTCAGCCAAATCATTGTTGGAAATTCATAAGAAAAAATGAGAAAAAAAAACCGCAAAGAAACAAACACAAAATAATTATTCTATTTATACGTCAAGGGATATACTGAATGTACGGAAAAGTTTAATAATTATTGCCGTCATAGTTACTTTTGTTTGCCAAATTCTACAAAAATTCTCCGCCAGTAATGGGCAAATTTTGAAATACGAATATTTAAAATATTTTTATGTCAATTAGTATTTTGTCTTTCAAAGTACAGAATACTCTTTTTATTCGTGCCTTAAAATAATTGTACTCTGGTATTAAAACTGTATGTATTATAGTCCCTAATTGTGAAATTAATAATTGTAATTTTTCCATTTAATGGAATACATAAAAAAAATATATGTTTCATTATACGTCATATATTTTGTCTGTTAAAACTGACTAGAGATATTATTCGTTTATTACTAATCTAAACTCATCGAAATTATTATTTACAAAATACTAGCATAGTGGAAAACGGAGAGATCACAAGTCTTTAGGAACCATTACCTAACACTGAAAGTCATAAAATCACTTTTAAGTATTCGCATCATTGCGAAACTGTAGGTGCTATTTGTATATAAAATGTATAATACTGTGTATTTACTATATAATCAGCCGGATTCATAGATTACTCTAAGAAAAATATATTAGATATATCTACGGTCTAATTTTCAAATCTTAAATTCAAATACATTGTACTACGTTTATAAATGCAAAAAAAAATAAGTTTCTACCGTTACTAGAGGATAGGGAACACAATTTTCTTGGGGATTTCACTGTAAATCGGTAGAACTGTAACTATGAACACACCACACATATATTAGTAATTAATTTGACATTTTTAAAAAGTTATAATGTGTAATTTTTTACGGTAATAATCTACGGGGAAGAGTTTTTCAAATTTTTGGCTTTCAAAAAATAACTTTCTGGTAAATATTTCTGATCGAAACAAATCTTGGTACATAAAGAAGTCGGCAGATTAAAAACACATCATTCTAAAACCAATACCTTCTTAGCTCCAGTTAAAACATAAAATTACTTAGTAATATTTCAATTACTTATAACTTTATTACATATAATAAAAATACGGGTAAAATTATACATCAAATACTGTACTTTATATTTTTCTCTTTAAAATTATTTAATTTATTATTTAGTCTAAAAAAAAGTACTGTATTTTACTCATCTCGGACTATTGTTATCTTATGGTATAACGACAATTTCATTTTGAACCCGACTTATGACCGTTCTTGCCACCAGTTTGGTTTAACATTTATGTAATATAGACAATAATTTGAGCGTTATCCGAAAGCACATTTAGCCAAACATTAGCCGAAAAGAGCACAAATTGATAATGCCAAAGAACATGAAAATATAGTCTAAACAACACCACAATATGTATAGTATAATATAAATATCGATAACTAAGTGCATTTATGACATGCAATGTGCACTATTTCATCAATATTGTATTAACTATTGATATTATTAATAACAACTATTTTGTTTTTTTATAAATAATAGACTTCATTTAAAATTGTTTTAGCTAAAATAATTATTTTATACAAAGTTTACTGTCGAGCCCAATTTAAATCACTGTATTTACAGACCCCCGCAAAAGTCTGTTACATACTCGAGAAAGTCAACGAACTTTTGGGGGAGCTGTTTATACATTTATATAGTTCTTTTCATATAATTTGTTTTAGATATTTCCGTATTAAATGATTTGTCACGATACAATCATTTTTATAACTCGGTACTTACCAAAGTTTTTAACAAAGCATAAAATAGTTTAAATTTAATTAATGTGCAAATGGATTTTAAAATTACTCAATCGAATAAAGAAAATAATTTGCTGATAACCACGGGGTGTGCTATTATAGGCAAAGTAATTTCAGGTAATTAAAATAAAACTGCGCTCTTTTAGATTGCACCGAATAATTTTAATTTTGTTAAACAATATTAAATTTTTTTAAACTACATTGGTGAGAACGGCAATTACAGTGTACAAGTGTTTCTTTATACATTTTACAATACAAATGAAATTGGTGTTCATTTAAATACTTTTTTAAGTACTTAATAATTGACGATTTAACATTTGAAAATCGAATAGAATTTTAGTATACAAATACAAAGCTAGTTTCTAATTTTCAAATATTAATACAAAAACACGACAAAGAAAAAAATTGCAAAATTCAAATTAGCCGCTATGCTATAAAGATTCCAACGAGATATTACTTTAAATTATGTAGACTGGTACAGAATTTTCATTTTAAAACATTTTTGTGTTCATATACATTGTTAATAGTGTTATCGTCAAACCGTCAAAATTATAATCGGACCTAACCTAACCTTTTACGAACCCGAGGCTCCCAAATTCCTAGCATAAGCCGGATGTTTTGTATGTAGATGTACCGAACTAATACAAATTATATTTTCGGTTGTATTAAAAAGGAAAAAAACGTTAAACCGTATTGCGACCTTTGATCGAGGGACAAGGCAAACATATTATTATGATCAAACCAACAGGACAGCGCAGGTATATAAGTCTAATAACGGAATATCCTGAAGACATGTAT